AAATACAGTTGTTTGCCTCTTTAAATATGGAGAATCTCATTTGCTATGTTCTAGATCATATTAAGCTGAGTATCTTTGGGTTTGGATCAAAACAGGGAAATAAAGACAAAAAATAATAATAATCGAGAATACAATAGCCAGATTAATCAATAATAAAAATAATTGTAATATCCAACGTTAGTTTCAACTATTAAATGAATCGTCAAGTATTTTGATGAATAGGTTTTGAGTATTTCTTTAAGCAAAGAAAGTTATAATTCCCTGATTCCAGCTTTGTAAATGCAAATATTTTCTGGTTATCTGAACTCAATATGTTTACGTTGAGGACAAAACAAACATTTGACGACGCCATCTTAGGCTTTGAGAAAATACTGTATGATAAATCTAAGCCGTTTTCAGAGCTGCTCTTAGAGTGTGAGCTCCAGTGTGTACTTCCTTTGTATACCTGCTGTGACAGTGGTTGTCATGTGTTTACAGGGTGTTATAAACCTGGAGACCCTGGGGAAACGGGGCTACCGTGTACCTCCATCAGGAACCATTCAAGTGGTGAGACAACTTTTAGGTTATGTCAAACCAAAAATGTAGAAAAATGTTCATAATGTATGTTTCGAAAATATCTGCATCATGGTGTACACATGGCTGAGAACAAAGAGAACATGACACAAAGTAACTAAAGAATAGGGAGACCCCTACTGGTTATGGAGGGTATATTCATCATCTAACAAGAGCATGTTTTTATTAAATGATGGTGCTTATACTTCTGACTTTAAGGGGTGTTGTTCTATATATACTTATTAAAATATATATATTTGTATCGACAGTAAGATTTTAGCTTTATGTATCTTTCACAGCATGTCAGTTTCAACGAGTGTCAAGCCTCTCATTCTTTCGTGTTGTCCCTTCCAGACCTTATTCAATCCCAACAAGACAGTGGTGAAGATGTTTGTTGTGACGTACGACCTCCGAGCCATGCCAGCGGGACACCAGACCTTCCTGCGCCAGAGGACCTTCTCTGTTCCCGTCCGCCGCGACACAACCAATCAGAGCAGGAAGCCCCTCGGACGCACCCTGCGCTACCTCGTCCACCTGAGGTGAGCTGCTGCAGGGACGCACCATCTGGAAAAAAATTACTACTCGTGATTATTTTGACTGATATTGTATTTACGATGTGATACTCAATATAAGAGGGAAGGATACAAAACAAATGTTTAAACATTATTCTCATTTTCATTGAAATAATATTAAAATAATGACATTAAAGGTCAGTAGAATGCCGATAATGTGTTGGGACTTCTCTTCAGCACCACAATACGTATTTCAGGATGATCTTTTCCCGTATGTTTTCATTAAATCTGCACAGCTCTTCAATTTAAATTCTAGTATTTAGTCATATTTTTACTGTACTTAGTAACAATATTTTGTGTAAATATTTCTCTTAATTTTCTGTTTTTTAATAGTTTTTACAATAGAACTATTCTTGTTCCTTTTTACATTATTACTGTACATTAGCTCCTTTTACTCCAACTTATTAATATTCCTACTGTGTTTACGTACGCAGCATTTACAATTGAGCAAATGCCTCATATGTGTAACCCTACTTGGCAATAAACCCGATTCTGATGTTTTGCCTTTACCAGATATTGTGCTTTTTGCAATTCGGATATCAGAATCCCTTTATTAGTCCCACGGAGGGGAAATGTGCGTAGTTACAGCAGGAAAAAGAGCCACAGACAGCTTAATGTTACATATGTTAAATATGTGACATGCATTAAAAAAAAATACTAAGTAAAAAATATAATTAAAAAAAATTAAAAGTTACATCATTTAAAAAAATACACATCCTGTAACAGTTCTTAGGATTTAGCAGCCAGGTATATATTACAGTTATTAATGGCATTTATATATAGCACATATTGCACATAGTTTGTTGGTATTTAGCAGCAAGGAGTGATATAGTCTATGTTGTGTGTGTGTGGGGGGGGGGGTCAACTAGGGGCTGTGCTGGTTGTATAGTCTGACCGCTGCAGCAAAGAAAGACCTGCGGTATCTCTCCGTGAGGATATTGTCCATATTGCTATTTTCAAGAACAAATTTGATTAATTATACAGCCTTAGTTGTCATTTCCTCTGTAGCTCATACTATAACTGAGACATAATGATTAGCGATAATGTTTCCTTCCTCATCATCCTCTCCGTCTTTCCTCTCTAATCCCGACCAGGTTCCACAGTTCGAAGTCTGGGAAGATCTACCTCCATAGGGACATCCGTCTGCTGTTTTCCAGGAAGTCCATGGAGGTGGACAGTGGAGCGGCCTACGAGCTGCAGTCCTCCACAGAGTCCCCGATGGACCCACCGTTCTCCCCCCGCTGCTGAGGCGACCACCAAATGTTTCAATCACACCTCGATGCCAGCGATAGACTCTTCCGCAGCCCATGGCTAGACAAAACGCTCTAAGCGAGAAGCAATTTCAGGACTGCATTCAACAAGACTCGCCTGGCATGTGCCCTAAATCTCAAGTTACCTCCCTTCTGTCACCCAGAACTGACAAGGGGGGAGGAGCTAAGAAGCTGAGAAACTCGTCAGACATTGTTGAAACATTCGATCAAAGGATACGGTTATAGAGTGTGTTTCAGATCCTGTTTTCCTGTTTAAGAAGGCCTTGCCAGATAAGATAGGTCATGTTTGTCCCAGCTGTTGTGTGTATCCCCTCCAGCGTCTGGCAGGAGAGTAGAGACCACTGATCGTCTACAGAAGACACTTAAGTTATTTCACTCTGTTTACTCAAATCAAAATGTTAATTGGACCTGACATGATGAATAAGTGCTCAATCTTAATTAATTTGTTCCAAATGCAATACAAGGCCCTTTAATATTTAGTTTTGTATCCTTATTGAACTGAAAGTGAACTCTGCTTCGACCATGTGATTCCTGAGCAGAGGGAGTAAATATGGAGGAGTAGGTGGTGGTGGTGCAACGCCTTCCCCTCGTCTAAAAAAGAAAAACGCCATGGACCAGTGAATATGTTGAACAAGCAATCATCAAGATTCAACTGAAAGCATCACAGCTGAACATCAAATGTGCACTGTGGATTTTTGTTTCCCTCATTATAACTGGAAGTAAAAACAGAAAATAGTCATATTCTAATACTTTTGTACTGTTACAGAACCACTTTGTTGGAAGTGTTGCAATAGAAAGAGTAACCTTAGTTTAGTGTTTACACATTCACTCTCAGTTTACTTACCATCTTTTTATTTAATATTTAAATTAATATTTCAGTTACTACTTGTGACGTCTGTCATGCTAAGATGATGTAGTGGAAACTGTTTATCATAGTATGTATTTTTGACATTAATATTCAAATCTGAAAAATATACATCTATATATCTTGAAAGCTGTCTCTTGTTGTTTCCCCTCAATGTGTGTGCCTGCCATTTCTACATCTCCACACACTGACGATGAAAAGAGGAAAACACACATCATTGTAGATGCTCACATATGGTCATATATGGTACATCATGAATATAATAAGAGCTGGGGCACAGCTGTGTGTTTTTGGTATTAAATACTATTTGCATATATGACAACGAATAACTTGGAACTTAACATTTTTGTAGTATTTCAAAAAAAGTTATTTTTACACAGCAATTTGTTCAAAGGGGATTTCATCAATTAGATTTTCTGCCACCTTTAGATTTGTACATTTCATTATAAATCTTAAAGAAACTACATTTAAACTAAAGCAAGAAACAGAAACGGACTTGTTTGTCTAAAGGGGATTTTCAATAACAGCATTTCAAATTAACACAATAGGTGGACAAACACTGAAGCAACCCATCCACCACTTATCTCTAGACGGGTAGATCCTTGGTCAAAGCTTTTTTATTTTACAAAAAAGCCCCTTCCTTTAAGTTTACATAGTTGACAAATCATAGGATTCAAATAATAAATGCCATGTTTGTCCAAGATATTACACCTACATGTGAGGAGAAAACACTCCTATAGGATAAAGCTGCATTCCCAAAAGTATTTGTATTCATATGCAGAGCAATTAATATCCTCAGTCTTTATTCGGGGAGGGGCGGTCAAAATGTCTTCAGGCACTCATAAGACCACAGAGAGCAATCTGAAACAGCTGACTACTAAGTGAGCTGTAGGCAAAGCTGCATATTACAGTAGGTAGTGGTCATTTATTATAGTAAGCTCTGGCACTTAAATGCACCTGATCAGCCTCAAACTGAGGGTCTTTTGTTGACCTGGAAGTGTATCATATACATGGGCGTCACTTTGTTCGAAAAAGTGGTGGGGACAATTTCTCCAGATTTAACATCAGCATAGCAGAAGACAAAATATGTCCCTCCCCTGGGTGTTGAACCTCGAGCACCTGCATGACCAACCAATGTATAGACCTCTGAACCACCAATGTGTTCATAAATTGATCAACTATAGGTGTTACTGTGATTTTGAGTGAATTTGTACCTTTTTTTATTTTTAAATGGAACACAGAATAAAAATAAGAAAGTAATAAGAAATAATAATAATAATTCATTAATGAATACAAATTATAATAAAGATAACATATTAAAATTAAAATAATAAGCTAACTAGCTAAAGATATATGTAATGTGAAAAAACGGTTTTACCAAAACTAAAACAATTAAGCGATAAAAAATCCACAGTCTGGTGTAACATATTGGGCTGTGTATTACATTTTTTTTATCTTATCATAAAACACAATTAAAAATTAAAAAGTTGCTTAAAGAATACTCACTACAGTGAAGCACATGCCATACAAAACTGTGTGTGCAGCATTCATTTACAAATCTGAGGATTATTAGACTGACATCTGGATTTGCGTTGCAGCCATAGACTGTATAAAGGTTGCAGCACATGGGTCAAACAGCTGACGGTGTGTGTTATGCAATGTAAATCCGATCCCAGCACTGTGGCGTGCGAGCCGGGATTGCCCGAACGTGGGCGCGCATGGTGTCTCCGCATGTGTGATGTAGGGAGTGCGCGCTTGGCAGGGCAGAGGCAGGACTCGTATGGAAAGTCAGAGCAGAGGATTTGTGGATCACTTGTTCAACTAGTGTGTGTGTCTGAGATCACGATAACACAGACATGTCGGGGGATAACGAAGAAACACAGAGAGCCGAAGAGACATCGATGGAAGAAAAGGTCATTGTTAGCCTTTTAGCAGTAGCACAGCTGACTTTGTTGCAGCTTTAGTTTTTTTTGCCTGCGCGCTCGTTATTGTTGACATTTCAACGTGAGCTACTAATCCCTGTGTAGACTAGTTGATTGTATTTGTCGAATCTCAAAACAACATTCAAATACCGGTTAGTTACCCTGTAGTTTCGACTGCTGATATATCAAGTGTTTCGGATGGTTAGTGTGAATGTCAGTGGTACCGTTAGCTAATGCTAGCAGCTGGCTATTTGTCAAGCTAACTGTCATGACATTCACACTGGGACAATTGGTAGCTCAGATGCTAACGTTAGCCTAGCCAAACCCAGTGTCTTCAATATTCTAGGGTTTTATTGTCATAACGCACAGTAGCTACAGTGTAGTCATGGCAATGACACTTTTAAGTCCCTGGCTCCTTCAACAATGCAAATATATATAAGGCATAAACAATGAAACCGTAAAAGTTAGTGCAATAAAATGATGAAAGTGGCCAATGTGAAGGTAAAAAGTAAACTATAAGATGAGCTAAAAACACAATGAAATACTGTATAATTGCGGAATAAAATACTGGTTATTGTGGTAACAAATATATATGTGAAATGCAAACAGATAAAGCCTAGTTACAGTAACCAGAGGTGGAAGAAGTATTCAGATTAGTTACTTAAGCTAAAGTAGTATTATTACAGTGTAACACACATCTTTGTAGTAAAAGTCCTGCTTTCAAAATTGTCCTTAAGTAAAAAAGTGTTTTCATTACAATATACTTTAAGTACCAAATTATTTACTCAAATCTAAAGATGCTTAATTTAATTACTTAGTTAAAGGTGGGGTTAATTTCATATACTCTATTTACTATTTACTGAGCAGCTTAACATTTAATTATAATAAATGATAATGTGCTAGTTGATTTATATTTTACTATAATAACCAAAATCAGCAAAGTAATTATAGCTGTCAGGTAAATTAAGTGAAATAAAATGTGCAATATTTGCCTACAAAATGTAGTGGGGTAAAAGTGTAAGTAGCATAATGCAAAAATACTTAAGGAAAGTACGAACTACCTCCACTTTTTTCTTAAATACAATAATTGAGTCATTGTACTTAGTTACATTCCACCAGTGCTACTTTGTAATACTGCTGGCGAGAATACACATGCCTGTATTATACTTTTTTTTAAAAGTGCATAGGTTTTATCCCGATATGTAGAAGTGAATGTTTATACGTTAGTATTCAAAGGTCCTAACATGGAGGGTGAGATTATGTCTGTACTGCAGCATGTACTATCAGCTGACACATGTTCAGTGGGAGCCTGGAGGTACTTGATGAATGTACTCTCTTGTTGTACTGCATGTGTGTTTTTTTATTTATAGCAAAGCTCATAATGTAATGCATATTGCTTCTGCTTGTTTCCAGGATGTCCAAGACAAGGTGATCAGTCCTGAAAAGTCAGAGGAGGCTAAACTGAAGTCCAGATACCCAAATTTAGGAAATAAACCCGGGGGCTCGGACTTGCTTCGTAAACGCCTCCAGAAGGGGGTGAGTTATCCCTTGTGTTTCACTGCAAACATACAAAGTTCAGTTACTGTAGGCACAGTCTCTAAGCATACTGTCATTCATTTCTTAGTTGCCAGTTTTCTCATACCTACATGTATGCTGCTGTTGGACAAATTGTTATGAACTCAAGGTTCCCTTTCTAGCGTGTTCCAGAGGATACTATTTGCATCAATAATATAACATTTGAGAAATTGTATATATCTCATGTATGATATCTGAGGACCTGTATAATCTAACATTCTAATCTAATCTGCCAGATTTTGAGCACACAAATAAAACTAAATCTTCTTAAATGGCAGACACAGCACAAAAACATAATGCAAATATAACGAGGTGAAAACCGAGCAAACAGAGCTCTGTATAAAACAAGAACACATCTGGTGTTGGCCTTTACTAGCTTGCTAACCGTAATCCTTGTTGAGCTCGACAGGTAGATGCAATTTGGCATTTGCTTTCTTTACCGCCAATAAAAATCACCCAACCTGTTAAATGTTGCGTACTGAGGATTACATTTTTATATATATATGTATATATATATATATATACACAAAGATTATTGTCTTCCTCTTTCTCGGATCAAACTGTAACATTTGTATTCTTATGTCTCTACAGCAAAAGTACTTTGACTCTGGCGACTACAACATGGCTAAAGCCAAGATCAAGAACAAGCAGTTGCCGACAGCGGCTCCAGAGAAGACGGAGATCACAGGCGACCACATCCCCACCCCCCAGGACCTGGCCCAGAGGAAACCCTCTCTTGTGGCCAGTAAACTGGCAGGCTGATGCCCACACAGCCCCTGCAGCCCCCCCCTAACCCTCTCCACTCCAGTCTCAGAGCTGTAACATTGACCTTTCCCACCCCCCACAGTACCTGTCCCTGCCCCCTGCCCACCCAACAGAACTGGCTAGCTGAAATCCTGTTTATTTTGATATCCTTCCCATCTGAATCTGCCTCCTATCCTTGTTGTTTTCCCCTTGCTTACCCTCTAAACTGGCTATCATTGTCTTCTTACTTTTCCATGTTGCTTTTTATTCCCTCTCTACTTCAACGTAAGAAACACTGCAAAACTGGACATCTAAATGTGAGTGTGAAACGTGGAGTGTGACACCTCTGATGATGATACCACGCTGCTTACTGGCTGAAGAGAGGGTCGAGGAAGTTGTGTCCTTTTTGGTTTGAGGGCTTTAGCATGGTGGTCAGGATCCCTCCGTTTGGAAGTATGTGTATATACATATATATATATTTCCTTTTGTTTGGCACAGAGGAAGATGTCGGCCGTTAAAAACATTTTACATCCGATTTGTATTATTCACTGTATTGTCCTTATTCTAAATTATGCCTTCAATCGGCTTGTGATTTACTGAAAAATAGTAATCTTGAGGCCAAGCTCAGTTTTGTGAACACATTGATTGTAAACCATGGGAGGAATGTTCATTTCCCCTCTGTGGGACGAATATAGGTGAAGGCCAGAGTGTTATATGGAACTGCATGTGTGACGCAGGGCTCCCAAAGGCGAAACTCACTGACCTCCATTTTGTATTCATTAAGGTGCACTGAACTCGGACAAGAAAAGCTCAGGTGCAGCATACAAGCACCGGGTGGCATGTGAATGATGCAGTAAAGACATCTTGAAACTTTGTAGAGGAGACACTGCTTCAGTTTGAGCTGCGATGGTGAAAATGTGCACGGGGTTTGTGATGTGCCATCCATTTTAGCCTCAGATTATGACAGTGTCAACGTTTCTGTTTACAACTTGTCCTACTTGTGAAACTACCATGCTAGAAGACTAGTTTATGGGACCTAAAAGTTACATTTCGGTCAGTAGAGACCAGTCTTTGGGTCCTGTTTGCTGTGCGAGCTAAATCTACCTTAAAGAATGGTACTGGGAGCAGCTCTTGGCATTGGGAACAAATATTGTTATTCAAAGTCTTCAGACTTGGAAACAAATAACTTCTATATAAGTCGAATGAGTATTATCATAGAAAATGTCCCTGGACCTGTTCAGTGCTTTTCCAGGGTCCTTTCTGACTGGATGAAATGTACCTGTGATGAGGTAAATCAAAGCTAGCACAACATCCGTCTGAGCTGTGCATGTGTATGGCTGCCCTGCTGTCACTTTGTGCCGTTTTGTAAATAAAATAGTTTTGCACAAATGTTTAATTGCTGGGTGTGTGTTTTGTGTTTCCTTTTTTATGTTAAGTAGTATATATTGTAGTTAAAGGTGCTTTAAGTTGTCTAACCAATGTGTATTTGAACACAAAAAGGTTTTTAAATACATTTGTATACAATTATGGGCTTACCAAAATTCATTTGGATAAGGAAAGCAGTACCTGTTAGCCTTCTGTTCTTCACATGTATTCAGATACACTTAAGTACCAATTGTACGTTACAGTTGATACATGAAATCACTGCAAACATGTTACATTTTAATTCCACGATGTAGCACTGACCAGTTTTGAAGCCATCTGTAGTATTTGTAAACAGAAGGGTGCACAAAAATCATCTGAACTCCAGCCACACGCAATGCAGCACCACAGTCAGTGACGACTCAAGACAGGGAGTATTTCATGTGTTCCGTCTATAACTAAACCCCAATAATGGCACAAACAAAAAGATCCCAAATTACTGTTGAATCATCTATTGCCAGTATTAACAGAACATTAACATTATGAGCCTTTTTTTGCAAGCACATTGTGTTTGCATTATACTGAAGTCATACCCCTTCAGTTGTTTACCTTGCAACAAGAAATAACTTTTTTTTCCTTCTATTTTAACAGAACGTATCATGGAAAGACATACATTAAGTAGACAACTTCCTTATATACAGCTATCCCAGTGTATACTGTACTCATATTGATTAACACAACAAATTGACAAAAACATTCATGTTTATAGGATATAACTACATTCTTAATAAAACTTAAACCATAGAGATCGGTTCAGAAGTTTCCACCAAGATATTTTTTCCAAAGAATCAAATGTGGTTGTCCTTGGTTCAATTTCTGAAAGTGTGGTTACAAACACTCTTGAGGGCTACAATTATGTGTGTCCTATAGATGCATAATAGATGGTTGAAACCTGAACCTTGATCATACAATGCCTGAATTTAAAAAAAATGGCTGGAGATGGAACAAATCAAATGATGCATTGCGACTGCATCTACAGAATGAAGACTTCCTGCTTTTCTCAGTGTTTTATATATCATATTAAACTGAATGTATTTCATTTCTTTCCACCTGTTTTATTTTCCATCTTCTATGAGGTCCCTGTCTCTTCAGATTGTATATACACCATATTGTATTCAAACTTTATTTGACTTAGGTAGATAGATGTCGAGGCAGATGGAAATATAGTTATTTATTTGTTGACTGGCTGCATCACGGCCTGGTATGGCAGCTGCACCGCCCTCAATCGTAAGTAGAGGGTGGTGAAAACTGCACAGAACATCACCAGGACGGAGCTGCCATCCATGGAGGACCTCTACTCCCAGCGGCTCAGGAAGAAAGCCCTCAGGATTATAAAAGACTCCCATCACCCCAGCCACAAACTGTTCAGTCTGCTGCCGCAGCATCCGGACTAAAACCACCAGACTCAGGGACAGTTTCATCCCACAGGCCGTAAGACTATTAACACCTGAGGCCTGTAAAGTGCCTATAAACATTCATCTGTTTGCATCTTGCAATGTATTTATCTATATATCATATTCAATTTACGTGTATAGAGACTCTCCTTGCACTGTTTCTATTTTGTTTGTATTTACTTGCACATATTACAACATTCTCTTGCACTATTTTATTTCCATTCTGTTATTTATTGCAATGCATTATTGGTTGTAACTTGTATCTGTTTTATATATATTATATTCATGTTGCATTGTTGGAAGAGCCTGGGACTTCAGTTTTTCATGCCATAACTACACTGTAGCAACTGTGCACATGACAAGCCTAGAATCTTGAATCTATTTATTTCAGAGAACGTGGAGTTTGCAGCCATGAAGGACAGCAAAGGATATTCATGGTTAAATTATGTGATTTATATGGAAGCCATTTTGCTTCAATCATAATTGACATATATTAAACTCACACAAATGTATTATTTATATTACAAAAATAAAATTAAAATATGCACTAATTCAAGCCCTTTCCATTTATGATAGATAGATACTTTATTGATCCCAATTTGTGAACTTTTTGAGAATCTTATAGTAGTTAGGTATTGTACCGTTTATTGTTACTAATCTATTCATCTCTTATATTGCATCCATATATCCTATATACAATGTTGCAAGACTTTTAGGGCCAAAGAGATGAAAGTAGGAAATCAATTTCTTCTAATTTCTCTTCCATATTTTTTTATTTTAAAACATGTTGTTTTTTGTTGGTGTATTTCCCTCGTGCGTCCATCGGGGAGCGCAGTTCTCCACGTGGCCGCAGCCCTCTCCATTTCAATCAGGACAGAGACTTCATTTTGTTTAAAGAACATTTATTGACTCATGTCTATGATAAATGTTAAGTCTTTGGCGATTAGACCCCGATCCTGAAATCGTATATCTAAAGGGGGGATGCAGCCGTGAGTATAGGGAACACCCCGGGGTCTAGACACTGGTGATGATGCTGAAGATCTGGATTTGATGAGGAGATGGGATGAAGAGGAGGTGTGATGAGTAGTGATGGCAGTTTGACACTGAAGCTTCGATACGTGTTTCAAACCCTGGACTTCCTATTCCATAGAAGCAGTGCTTCGAAGCTTGCTTCAAATCACGTGACATATGACGTCCGAAGCAGCAACTGCTTCATTTCCTGAATGAATCAACTCACTGGTTCGCCGTCCAATCAGGTGATGGCATTGCCTCGTCTCGATTCTGACAGGTGACAGGTTGAAACAGTTTCGAATTTGAGCGCTTCAACACTTTATAACCGCTTTAAACAATGCGCAATGTGTGGGTTGTTGTAGTAGTTTGCTTTGTTGTTGGTATTGCATTTGTATTGGATCATTATAGAGCAAGCCAGGAAGAAATATAGGTCGTTCTGGCTCGGGAAACACTTCAAAATGTGGAGAAGTTGTGAACAAAAAGACAATTATGAGTATTAAAAAAAAGTTGAACAGTTTAAAGAATAGATAGCCCTGTGGATTGAGCCGGCGGACCGCATGCGGCAACGTCCATGCAACTGTCAAATCCTGCTATAGATGAACTTTTAATCATTGCCCGCTTTTCAACTTTAATACTATAACTGATAAAAGGCCCTCCCTGGCCCAAAAAAATGCCTTTAGAGAAATACAAAATAAAAAGAATAATTACCTCAATAAAGATCTTTGAGTGTTCCCCATCCCACATAATCACCCCCTGCCATAATTACACAAGCACACCCAACCAATTTCACATTTTCCAGCACTCTCTTTTCAATAACCCAATAATCAATCTTTAATTGCAAAGAACATGATATTCAGTATTCGTGTGTGTGTGTGTGTGTGTGTGTGTGTGTGTGTGTGTGTGTGTGTGTGTGTGTATCGAATATTTTTTCAAGGCAAAGATATGTTAAACCCACTGCAGCCTTGCATTTCGCCAGGAGAGGTCGCTGTAACTGAAGCTTCGAGAAATGAACCTATTTCCGACACAATTGTCCAAGTGGTTCGATGCTTCATTCAAAGCTTCATTTGCCCATAGTGACGAGGTCTTTGGATTAACTCTCCTGGCACTGGATATGATGAAAGGAGGTGGATGGGGAGGAGGCGGGCGGCAGCATGACAACCTGAAATCACAGCTGACTGCAGGAGAGAGGAGAACCATTTTAAAGTTTGGCTGCAGCACAGTGATTGGCTGCTGGAGAATGAGGTGAATGTAATAGGTTCAAAACAACGCCCGCGATGAGCTGATTATGCAGCTGCGGACTGACGTATACCCAGTCTTCCTGACAGAATTTGAGCTGAGCTTCATTTGGCTGAATAATTTCATCCTGATCGTACCCAGAATGCAAAGTGAGACACCGAAACCTCAGCAGCCCTGAAGCTTTGCAGGTTATCATGGTGATAACACACACATCTTCCCTTGCCTGAGCCTCTGCTGCAGCAACAAAGGATTTGTATTGCTTCATGAAAACACACACCGAGTCCCATGCAGTTCGGACCCCCGCCGCCGGAGTGTTAGCCCAGATTGGAGGATTGACCGCCATGGCAGCGTCGGAGGAGCTGTACACAAAGGTAAAACCAGTGGATTTAAATGTAAATATCTGGGCTGTAAATTAATATCATAGCCGCAAGTGTAGCTGTCCAGCTCGAGTAAAAACATGCTGACGGTTTCAATTTCGCTACAAAACAAATGTGTCTTTTTTTGGGTTCGGTTGGTGATTTTAAATGAATGAAAATGATGTTGAAACCATATAAAACATGTGACATGCAGTTAGCTCAAGGTGTTTGGTGCTGGTTTTAACATGGCAGTTCAGCGGTGAAATGGGTGCAGCTGACGTGACAACAGATGCTGTGTTTATGTACCCATAGGTGTCAATTTGTTCAATGTATCTTTTATCTTAAAACATGTTGTCATTTGTCACCTTAATAAGATATCCCCGTCTCCCGGTTCTTTATATCGTACATCCCCCACTGGAGGTTGGAGGGGCTGGGATGATGCAAAGGCGGTGCCTGCCATCATGGAGGCTCTGGTTTCTACGGTTTTAAACCATAACATTGGCCTCTATTTAAGCCATATGCATTCTAATAGCTTAGTGTTTGTGTTTCCAAACACATAGTGTAATATTTTAGGGGTATGACCAGCTTTTCCAGGGTGTGTTTGCTGGGTCCTGCAGGCTGGGTACCGCTGAGATGCTGCGCCGCATCCTTTTAGCATCCTTTAGCATCCTTTAGCATCCTTTTAGCATCCTTTTAGCATCCTTTAGCATCCTTTAGCATCCTGCATGTTAGACTAGCAGAGGCCCTGCAGCCTGACTGTAGCTTTACAGATGCTCAGTGAAGAGAATAGGACACTGCTGCTGAGGAGGACTCACAAGGTCACAAGTGCTGCTGCTGTAGTGCACATGTAAAAACCATTACAGGAAAGAGTGCATGTTGGTGAGAGAAAGAGATGAGTCACCCATCCCCCCTACTTTGACAGCGGGTGTTTTTCAGCTTGAATAAGGTTGTGGTGGTGAAGATACGTGACTGTGTGTTTGTGTTGATGACTGTTGCTATTGGAATGTATTTTTAAACCAACCACATTGTAGGCTATTTGTCATTTAAACCCCTCTACTTTTGGTTGGATCTCTCACGTTTATTAAGTGTTTTCCCTCCTCTGTTGTTATGACAAGCTTAGACAAATGGTCAGAGATAACATATTGACATAGATCTTAACCCGGGGTCAGCAACCGGACTCTGCCTGCTCTTCTGTGGCTGATCCTGATAAAACGAGGCAAACAAGAAGGCATCATTGTGGCATATAAAGTCCTGAAATTGCTATAATAGATCTACTCTATTTATTAGTCCACAGCAAATTGTCCGACAACAACACATCTAAGCTAAACACACAATCCCTGATTTCATTCGGTTCCAGCTTCGTAATATGAATATTTGCCAATTTTCTTAATCATCTGAGTAAGTAAATTAAACATTGTTTTTGTTGACATTAACTTGTTACAGACCAAACCATTTTTTTGTTTCTTGCTAAATGTTTTGGTGCAGTTAACAAGGTAAAATAACTTTATCTTTATGTACGGGATGCTGGGAAGTCACAGGGCAGTTATTGAAAAATACATAAAACATGCTGGTCTGACATCAAAGTCAACTTTAATGTCCATCTTCCAGTTTGTGTGTACAGACGGAGAGATCGAAATACTGTTTCCCACAATCCCGATAATACAATGCATGCAAAAGGAGCTCATATTGCATTATACATTCACGACAAACAAAGGTTGCTGCCTGGCTTTACTCTTTTCAGCAGAAATGATGTTACTATGTCCTGGGTCTGTTTTAAACAGCACCTTGGTAAGAAATTGAAACCAGCCATCAACAGTGTTGGCAGAGGCTGCTCAATTAGCGTCCTCTGCCAGCAGGATTTGGCCTGAAGCCGTCCAATCTGGCTGTTTAATTCCATACAAAAACATGTTGGGTGTAAATAGTTTAAATTGCAACAGAGAAGGAAACCTTTGGATGCTGTGTCGATGTGGCTGGGGAACACAAAATGATTTCTTGCTGTGAATGGTCCGGTCTGTTTCAGGAGGCAGCCTCTGATGTCAGACCCCTCTCTGTGATTTACTTTTCCAAGACAGGGGTGGGAAACACTCTGCCCTTTGTGCGCATGAGTCAGACTTATAGAAGCTTATTGAGTGGGACTGAGCTGCTTGGTTAACATGCACAAACACACACATCCACACACACACACACACAAATGCATACACAGCATCAGATTCTGCTCTAATCTACGTTTGGCTTCTCTCTGACCTGACTGCCGGTATAAAGAGAGGTTAGTCGGAGGTGAAGGCAGATTTGAAGGTTAGAGAAGGACGACGATACAGTTGTAAACATTAATCTGCTATAAGAAGTCAGAATTGACTATTTGTATGGTCTGTGTGAGCCAAATAAAGTAAACAAGAAACTGCTTTAGTTGTGTGAATGAAACTGTGCTGTGTACCTCCAGGTAGGGATGGAAGTGAGACGAGGCTCCATTAGATGACTCAGAGATGGAAAGGCTTTTAAATGCACAACCTACAGCGTTTCAAAAAAGATACATCATGCATTTAAAGGAGTCTACCCCAAGTGCATTTATTTTTATTTTTAGAAATACTAGACTTAGTATAGATTCATGAACCTAAAATGATATTATGTTATGAATGTTTTTCACTCTGCAGATTTCCTTTTTCACAACACACTTACCTTGTACTACTGAGTCGTATGATGTGTTTCCTCTGATTGCCGTTTCAGGCCTAAAATTGTCCGTATGATTGACTTTAGCTAATAAACTATGCTTACCATGTTAAGAATCATTGTTTTAGTTTTGTTGAATCATAACAAAAAGCTGTTTACTTTGTAGATAAGGAGCTCTTTGGATCTGTTACATCAAAAGGAAAGCCAGAAAGCTGGTTAAGTATACTACTTAACACATCTATTAATACAATATGCTGCAATTTAGGATTGTTTTCACTAGCGAATAATCTGCAGATTATTTCCTAAATTAATCGTTTGATGTTTTGTATTTAAATGTCCAAGTTAGCCATGTTTAAACTCAAACATATTCCTTTTAATGCATTACATTAATATTTTTGGTTTACTGATCAGGAGAACATACAATGTACAGTTTTTCTAAGAGCGGGGGTCTTTATACGCTGGCTGTATATTCAACGCAGTGTGTAATGCTTTCAATTACACTTCAGTCTGCACACCTCTGATGTTTCACAATATAACAAACTGCATAGAGTTTTCTCCTCTTTAACTAATGAACACACACACGCTACTGGTACACATGTGCCTTCAATCAGGCCCCACACTTGAAGTGCTTGCAGAAAAAGAAGTATGCCCGACTGAATCACATGAACATCGCATCGTAGTGTTGGTGCTAGGTTGTAGTCAGACTGGCTGGATCCTAACTTCAAAGAACTGGCTTTTAGCACAGCGATGGGAGAAAATCAGGACTGAATCATGTGGGTTATGAACAGCGGTTTAAGCATTTGGACACACTCAGTGTTGTGATGAGCAGCTGATGAAAAGTAAACACCTGCTGTTACTGTACATCATTTGTTGGGCTGTTTCCAAAAAGCAGCATGCGTGCCTGTTTCAGGTCATGCAGTGCAGAGTGGTTTTCTGTGATGGCTCCATTCAGTATTCCCTTTATATTTTCCGGGTCAAGGTGTCATAACATATGATGGCAGACCTTCATAGGAGCTAGGAATGGAAAACAAGCCATATTTTACAGCCCTACTTATTATAACATAATAATCAAGATTGGCGTGTTATGGTTACTTGTGTTACTTCAACTGCATCAGGCTTCAACATTTGACATTATCTTTGACTGCGGTTCATTTTAGTTTTCCCAGCTCTATTTGGGAGCATGTGCATTAGATTACTGAGGTAACCTGGTTAAAGTAATTGCGCAGTCATGTTGTATATGCTCTGGCATGTAGTCATTGCCGTCATGTCCAAAAACAGACTAACACTCCAAAGGCAGACAAGGCTGAATGTTTACAGCTAAAATCATCATTCTGACCGTTCACTGTCACGGTGCAGGAATCATTTATTGTGATTTAACAAATCTTACCTCAATACGTTTTTCAGTTGTGAACCAGCCTCCTTAAGTAAATGAATGGCTGTCTAAACCTAGTTATTTCCAGGCTGTTTAGAGAGTACAAGTTGGTTTTGTGTTCCTCTAAAGCAAGGACACTTTTAATCCAGCGAATAGGAACAAGCCTAAAGGTTTGACCACTTGACTGTCAGATAATTTTTTATTTGGAGTCATGTCAGTGGTTTGTGGGAAAGTCTTGTTTTCATGCTCTCAGAGTTTTGTGTGCCTCCCAACTCATGTGATTGAGAAAGGATGTCTGATAGGCAGCAGCAATAGCCAATTATCTGTCACTGGAACAGTGTCTTTGTGGGGCGTTGTTAAACGCTGCTTGTGTCTTCAGACACTGGGAAGGTTTCATCCACCAGTGAGCTCTGAAGCTCGGCGCTCGATCAGCATCTGGCCTTGAGGCACGTGTGGCTGGAGATAAACCAGCAGACTCACAGTATGAGCTACAGACTTGATAAAGAAACAAGATGAACCGGGAGTTGGAGTGTATGTTTATAAAAGTAAGTTTTTGCTTTTTTTCAAGCTTTCAATTGGCATCCAATTCCCCCATTCATTGATTAGGTATATATATATATATATATATATATATATATATATATATATATATATATATACACACAGACAGACAAGAAACAATGTTAAAAACATGGACTTTGAATGAAATTAAACAGTCTGGTATTATTTAGGAGAAGCTTATTTCCCTTTTTAAGCTATATGTGGTTATTTGATAAGAGATCGGTAAAGTCTTGAATTGTGGACTCACACTTCAGCAGAAACAAAGTTATGTAAATGAAAAACAGTTAAAGCAACAGAGTAGCGACTCATTTCGTTTTAGATCAAGCTGTGTTTTGGTAACTTAATAATTTTGATTTAAGATCAAAATGTTATCACTGGATATAGTTTGTCCCACCTTTCATAGATGCAGGACAAT